GTGTGCTAGGTGAGCACTTTTACCTCTGAGTCACAACCCCAGCCCAATGAATTCTTTTAGTTTATTCTTGTCTTGGAACATTTTTATTTCCCTCTCAAATTTAAAACTGAGCTTTGTTGGGTATAGTAGCCTTGGTTGGCAGTTATTAGGACTTGGAATATCTTATTCCAGGACCTCCTTGATATTAGAGTCTGAACTGAGAAATCAGGAGTGAGCCTTATAGGTTTAACTGTAAATGTGACCTTATGTTTCTCTCTTGTGGCTTTAATATTCTTTCCTTATTTTCTATCTTAAGCATTTTGAATATGTCTTGGCAAACTTCTCATTTGACCAGGTTTGTTTGGGGGCCCTGTAAGCTTCCTGTATGTGGATGTCTATCTCCTTTCTGATAAAGAAATTTTCTGTAAATATTTCATTGAAAATATTCTTTATGCCTTTAGTTTGTATCTTCATATTCTCTTTTATCCCAATAATTCTCAGTTTAGTCTTTTAATGTTGTCCCAGAGTTCTTATATATTATGGTCTTATTCTATATTTTCCCCTCTATATTGTATTCTGTGTACTCAAGATCATACACCCTGTCTTCAGGGCCTGATATTCTGTCTTCAAGGGCTGAGGTTCTAGTTTTTACATATTCTCATCTGCTAATGGTGTCTTCAAGTGAGATTTTCATTTCAGTATGTCTTTCATTTCTAGAAGTACTTTTTTTCACTATTTCTGTCTCTTTATTAAAGTGATCTTTCATCTCCCGTAATTGCTCTTAATTCCTTTCTTAGATCTTTTTTTTAATTCATTGAACATTTTGATAATCAATTTTTTAAGTAATTTTTTTTGGTTTTTCATCCACCTCTATATCAGTCAGATCATTTATTGGGGGATTGTGGATTTTGGGGGAATATTTGTTTTTCTCTTTCCTCATGTTTTCAGAGGTCTTGTACTTGTGCATTAGTTGAGGTGGATTTCCCTACTTTTTTTTTTTTTTTTTTGGCATATGTCCGTTTGTGTGAAATTATCTTATTTGTTCTGGGACTTTTCTCTAGTTTTGATGTATGAGTAGATGCCAAGGGGTGACATCTGATGGTTTCTCCTTGGGTCCTTGTTGTTGGTTGGGGTTTTTGTCTCCTCACTTTTTTGAGTTTCAGTAATGTCAGGAAATGTTTAGTTCATCCACAGAGTCTCTAACCTGTAAACTTTTAGTGTCTCTGTAGGTTCCCAGAATCTCACAGAATGGAGCAAAATAAACAATAGTAGCAACTGTTGCAAACAATACGAAGCATTAAAGTAAATACCCAGTTCCTACTGTGACGTCTTCAACATTAATTACCACCAATAAACAGGAATGGTGGGTTCAGCAATTGTCAACAATAAAAACAATAACCAGGAACTAACTAGATCTGGCTTTGAAGCAAACAGCAGGTGTTAACTGTATCATCCACAGCAGTAATGATTGTTTTAGCATTAATGTTGGGGGGCAGGAGTTATATGAACCAATTAGTTCTGGAAGGTAGCAAAAAAAGCACAGTTAATTAGGGGAAAAGAAAATGTGTTAGGAAGTTAGAAAAGAGTTTACAATATCAAGAAGTGAACAGAGAGAATGCAGAAGAGATGTAGTTGCTGATATTTATGCAGAAGGAGGGGAAAAATAGAGGAAGCAAAGTAGTAGGGGAGAGAGAGAACAATAAAATTTGGCCATTGCCAGGAGAAGATAAGACCAAGAGAAATAAATGCTAGGAAAATAAATGCTAAGAAAAATGATTACATTAAAAATGCTAAAAATGAGAGAATAAGAAGCAAATAAGTCTATCTATATATGTACCCAAACCAATCAGCACAGCAAGAATTCACATGTGTGTGCAAGCTCACATGGAAAGAAAAAAAAAAATCTTAGTGTACACAGTTGCTGCTGTGACTTGACTTGAGAATGAAGGAACCCTCCACTGAGATGGTCAAAATAGCTGACTATATTGGGTGGTCACTGTCTATGTGACCACTGAGTTTTTCTTTCCATTCTTCTTAAGTTATGTACTGATAGAACAAAGGGTGGGGATTGTTAACCTCTTCCTGTTTTTGTTTTGTTCTCTGAGCTGCCAGTTGGAGTGGCCTAAGATTGAAGTTGTTTGATATAAGACTCAGCTTCCCTTCTTACCATTATGAGGTGGGATGAGTTAGGGTATACTGTCATTTGGCTTCTGCAGCATTCTGTGAGGGGAGTTCCAGCTGGTGGGGCTTAGGTCTAATCAGGTCTCAGAGGCTTTTTTTTGGGTGGTGCCTGCTTTGGAGAGATTAAATCGACCCAGCCCTAGGGCTAGACAGGAGCCAATTTCTGATGCAGGTCTGGTTCTCAGGAATCTTTCAAGAAATCCAGTTGTGTGGGGGAAGGCCTGGCTGATCCTTCACTCAGTGTAGTCCAGAAGCACAGCCTTCCCACACTTAGTTCCTATGTGAGCCCCAGATACAAGGAGAAGCAAGTTAGGCTCTCCTTTCTCCTCCCAACTTAAATCCTCCGGGGTACAGTTTATCCAGTGCGGGTTTCACCAGGCACAGCCTAGGTCACACTCTAGATGCCCGCCTGCCTGCCTGGATAGTGTGGCAGTTTTTTTTTTTTTTTCTTTCTGATCTTCTGAGTTTCTCAGTTGCTGCTGTGACTTGATTTGTGGGCCTCAGCTCTCTGCAGTCAGTTGAGTACAGAGCACAGTGTTCAAGTACCAATGTCTTATCCCATTACTAAACACTTCACGTCACTCCAGGTGAACTGGGCTGGCATGATATAATCACAGAGACAGAGAAATACCTTTTTCTTTGGGTCTGTGATGGCCCCTCTGACCTCAGGGGTCCATGGAAAGAGAGGGAAAGAGAAGCACATGCTGAGCCCTTTTATTGGGAAGAAGCCATTCAAATGAGGCAAGGGGTCAGGTTTCAGGGGGGTCGAGTCTAGCTAGTGATGTGTGCTGTCAGCAGATTGACTGACATTTTGGAAGGCCATGCCCATCTCAAGTTGTGTGAGGGTCACGGCAGAGCGAGTGAAAAGATCAGAGTGAGGCCCGCCCAAACAGAGGGGGGATGTCAGTTCAGTCACTTCGTGTGCTCACTGCTCATAGTTCACACACACACACAGCCCATGGCTGACTTGCCACATTCTCATCGCTCAAGATTAAAGGGCGTTTGGTTCCTTTGTGGCAGCTCCCAACAGACCAGGGCACGGTGCTGCGTCTGGATCAGCAGAATTTTTGACCTTAGGCTTTTCCATGTTAAATCTGTTCCTCCTCCCTTTGTTCGTGGTGAATCTGCACCTGCAGTGCCTGTGAGGCAGCCACATTGGCTTTGATGTATTCTTTCTTCTTTGCTTATTGTACCCAAATTTCAGAGTCCCTAAACCACTTTTTTTAAATTAAATTTTAGTGAAATCCCTCTTTTATCACCTCGCTGAGAAGCTGTATGCCTGCTGTTTTGGTTCTGAGTTACAGCACTGCTTGGAATGCAGCTTCTTTCTACTCCACCATCTTCTGTTTCCTGACTTAAGATCAATGGAGTTTTTTTTTTTCTCTTTTTAAAAAATTTATTTATTCAAATTTGTTATACATACAGCAGAATGCATTTCAATTCATAGTACACATACAGAGCACAATTTTTCATGTCTAGTTGTACACAAAGTAGAGTCACACCATTCGTGTCTTCATACATGTACTTAGGGTAACGATGTCCCTCTCATTCCACCATCTTTCCTATCCCTTGCCCTCTCCCATCCCCTCTCTCCCCTTTTCCCTATCTAAAGTTCCAATGGAGTTATTTTTAAACAATGCAGATTTTTAGGCCCACCTCCAGACTATTTGATCTTAATTTCTGAACAGAAGGTCAAAGCAGTCTGGATGTCAGGGAATTCTGGTGCCAGTGGGAGGGATATGAGAAACACAGCAATATCCTTTCAAAAATATTATTCTGTACTAATTTTAAATTGGACATAAAAGTTGTACACATTATAGGGAACCATGTGACATTTTAATGATGCATACATTAATCCCAATGTCCTTCTTAGAAGGACCATGGGAGAAAGTTCTCTCTAGTCTCAATTCTAGCACCAGAGGCCATACTTCTTGGCAAACACTTAATTTTGTTCTGGATACCATAATTCATATAGCTGATTGTATTCTTCATTTTTGCACGGGCTAAAGCATAGAACCAAATGTGAATCTTGCTAACAAATGTATAGAAAGAAACTTAATTGCACTCTGAGTGCTACATGAGCATTTCTGCCTTCCTCTCCTCTTTCATACTCTCATTTCCCCTTTGCCCCAATATTGTCGCCAATTTTTTTTTTTTACCAATTTATTTTTAAGTCTACATTTTATTTTGTTGCAGGTATTTTTGTACATTGCATTAACACTTTCTGGAACAAAATGTGACATAAATAATACTACTCAAATATTTGTATAAAACTTGATTTTTAAAATTTTTAAAAAAATTTTAAAATTTGTTCTAGATAGTTATATATAACAGCCAGAATGCATTTCAGTTCATTTTACACAAATTGAGCACAAATATTCATTTCTCTGGTTGTACATGATGTAGAATTGCACCATATGTGCAGTTATACATGGACCTAGAGTATAATGATATTTCTTGAGTTGGGTATTTGTATTTACTCTTTATGATTTTAAAAATACAACTTAGGATAACTAAACTCATAAATGCTTAAAGTAGAATAATTGTTGCCAGGGACTGAGGGTGAGGAAATGAGGAGTTGTTATTCACCTGGTATAAAATTTCAGTTTCACAAGATGAATAACTTATGGAGATTTATTGCAAATGATTGTGCTTATATTTAATAATACTCTATTGTACACCTGAAAATCTGTTAAAATGGTAGATTTCATGTTAAGTATTCTTACAACAATTATAAAACACTGAATAATTTAGCACAATTCAGCAGAAATCACAACATAAACCTGTTTAAGGTGGTAGCATTACTGTCTTGTTTAGTTACCTTATTGTCCTTTGGGGAGTGTGGGTGTAATAGGTTTGGAAATTACTTCATACCCATAAAAGACAAATGAAGAATCTTCTAAATTTTATTTAGGATGAAATCAGCATGGTAAAAATACATTAGTGATGTGCATGAAAAAGAGCTTCATTCCTTAACAAAATAAGTCTTCCAGGTACAGAAATGTACCTCAACTTAGCTTTTTTGTACCTGTATCCACATACATCTGAAGATAATGTTGATCTGTGAGCACATGACAAAATAGAGCAAGTAACTGGAAGATCCAAGAAAATTATTTACAATCTCAATATGTTTGAGGTGGGGCAAGGTTCTTTTTGATCCAAGCCTGATATTTCTTATTTAATAGGGTGTAGATTCCAGGCTTATTGGCAATGCCACATTTGTGACCTCCAGAGACAATGGCATGGAAGATCCCTTTGCAGACCAAGGGGCCACCTGAGTCACCCTGGAAAGAAGGAAATGTGGTGAGAAGCTATTGAAGTTTTTTTTTTTTTAATCAATTGTTGATTGCCCAACGTATTCTCTTTTTTAAATTTTTTTTTAAAAAATGACAGTAGAATGCATTACAACTCTTTTTTTAAAGAGAGAGAGAGAGAGAGAGAGAGAGAGAGAGAGAGAATTTTTAAATATTTATTTATTTATTTTAGTTTTCATTGGACACAACATCTCTAGTTGTATGTGGTGCTGAGGATCGAATCCAAGCTGCATGCATGCCAGGTGAGCACGCTACCGCTTGAGCCACATCCCCAGCCCCTACAATTCTTATTACACTTATACAGCACAATTTTTCATATCTCTTGTTGTATATAAAGTATGTTGATATCAATTTGTGTCTTCATACGTGGACTTTGGATAATGATATCCATCACATTCCACCAACCTTGCTAATCCCCTGCCCCTCTCTTCCCCTCCCACCCTTCTGCCCTATCTAGAATTAATTTATTCCTCCCATGCTCCCCCTCCCTACCCCACTATGAGTCAGCCTCCTTATATCAGAGAAAACATTCTTGCCCAACATATTCTAATCTGAGTATTTGGGTTCTCTGGGCCCTGCAATTGCCTGACATAGCCTCTTACTCAGTATAGGTTCTCTCTCTTCTAGGACTGTGTTTTTTGTCTCTTTGTCTCTGTTTTTCTATGACTATGACTTTGCCTGTATGTCTACACTATGTCTCTCTTTTTTCTCCATCTATGTCAATGTATACCTATATTCCTTGATAATCCGTGACTATTGAGTTTTATTTGTTGAGGAGTGGGTGGGTGGACATGAAGTTTGAAATAATTGACTGAAATAAAAGAAATTTTCTAAGTTGTGAATTTCATTTTGGTGCTCATGGACCTGAAATCCAGGTAACTTTGAGACCAGCAGAAAAGAGTGTTACAGTGCGGTAAATATCTAGATGGCAAGGACTGTCTTCTTCATTATTCTTTTGTATTCTCACATGGATATATACACTTGCTGAAAAAAAATTATTTTTGAGGTCTTACTCTAACAACAAAACATGCAACTGAATTCTGTCAGGAAAAGTGGGAGTTATAAAGAGGGTGATGTGGCCTTTTAGACTAAGAGTTGGCTTTCAAATGTGAAGAACAGCCTCATCCTAGGCTGTGGCCACATAGAAAACTACTTGGCCTTGTCCACTGGTCAGCCATGATTACATGGTCAGGAGGCTCATGTTCTTAGGGTAGAACAGCGACATGGGATCTTTGAAGACATCATAACCCTCCATCCAATAATAATTAATATGGCAAATGTTGCATTCTAATTTTTTAAAAATTAATAATCCATCTGTGCTACATATTAGTCACTTATAAACATGTATCAAATTTCTTCTTACCAATTTTATAAACAAAAGGTTTTGAAAAATATAATGAGTATTACTCCTTTTTGTTAATCGTGTGATGGTCTCAATATTTATGGCCTCTTCCCCTGGTCCTTAAACTCACATGTTGAAATTCTCACCCCTCTGAGTGGTAGTATGAGGAAGTGAGGTCTTTGGAAAGTCATAGGTCATGGAGCAGAAGACCTCATGAATGGGATTAGGACCTTTTAAAAGAGGCCTGAGAGACACCCTTTATTGCTTCTACCATGTGTAGTTAAAGTGAAAATAAGACATCTAGGAAGCAGAAAGCAGCCCTCACCAAAAACCAAATCTGTTGGCACCTTGGTTTGGACTTTCTAGTCCTCAGGACTGTGAAAATAGATTTCTGTTATTTATAAGCCACTCAGGTTATGTTGCAGGGTGTTCACAGTTATGTTGCTATAGCAGCCCAAGCAGACTAAGGCAGTCAATATTATTTAAGAAACACATACTGTATATTTGAGCATTTTGCACTTGAGTCTTATAAGACCTCCACATTGATTGACTTAAAAGATTTTTTGTTTGTTTTGCTTTTGAAGTGGAGGGGTGAGTTATCTTCATCTTCTAATCACCACTCATAACCTCAGGGTTGATGGATGTTCTCAGGATGCTGACACCCCTCATATGTGGCCTGTTGTTACGGTTTGGATGTGAGGTGTCCCCAAAAAGCTTATGTGTGAGACAATGCAAAAAGGTTCAGAGGATAAGTGATTGGGTTGTGAAAGTCTCAACCCAATCAGTGAATTAATCCCTTGATAGGGATTAACTGAAGTGGCAGGGTGTGGCTGGAATTGGGGCAGCGTGGCTTTGGGGTATATAAATTTTGTATCTGGAGAGTGGAATCTCTCTCTCTGCTTTCTGATCAACATGTATTCTGCTTCCCTCCACCGCTGTCTCCCATGTTCAGCCTCACCTCAAGCCCTGAGGAATGTAATGGGCTTCTATGGACTAAGACCTCTGAAACCATGAACCCTCAAATAAACTTTTCCTCCTCTACAATTGTTCTGGTCAGATCTTTTAGTCACAGCAGTGAAATAACTGACTAAAACACCTGTAAAAATTGTCAGATACAGTCTACTCTCCTGATTAACAATTTAATGAATGTTTTTTTAAGCATTGGGGAAAGTTCTTCCCATTCAAATTGGCATATGTGAAAGAACAGAGGGTAGAAATGAAGAGTACATTTCTAGAAGTGTGGCTTTGTGTTCTCCAGGGCCTCTCCTCAGTGCTAGTAGCCACATAGTCTTGACTGCAGTACTCTGGAGATGCCTGTCTGAATGAGAGACTCTTACCTGGCAGGAATCCTTAGTGCCTCTGGTGTCTCCTGCGCATATCATGTCTTTGGTTATAATAGGATTGTGGTTGTAATAACTTTGGCTGTTACAAAGTTTTCGATCTATGATGGTAACAGTGACTTCCTGAAGGGTATCAGAGATGCTGAAAACTTTTGAGTCAGTGGTTCCCCAACCAGTAACCTGGCATTTGGTGCCAGATCTAATATAGTTATTGGATCTTGGGTGGAGCAACTGGACATGCTTGTTGAGGTTTGCGGCCCCGTGAAGCTGACAGAGAGAAAAAAAGTGAATGAATTATCATTGTTTCCCAGCAGTATTCTGCTACTAGCCTGTGCATTGAATGTGTGGTCCCTCTGTCTTAGAAGGGCATCCCTTCCTCTTGAATCTACTTTGGTGGTAGCCTGCAGCTGCATTTGTGGTTGTTACTTTCCTGAACATGCTTTCTATTCCCTGTGGAATTTACTGATGTTCAGGGAATTTTGCCCAGTCTCAAGCAAGTGGCCTTTGCCCTGCCTTGGATGGATTTCTGTGAAATAACATTCGCAGGTCATGACTTTTAGGGCTTGGCTGTTTTCTGCTGAATAGGACCCTTGAGTATGGTCTAGACCAAATTTGGACTAGACAGAGTATGGTCTAGACTAAGCTGTAACTCACTTCTGAGTCCGTGAAGTCACTTGGTTGGCTCTTGTATAAATGACTGTTGATTTTCCAATTGTTCATGAGAAAAGCATTTGGGAAAAAGCTTTTATTGTGAATCCTTGGGCTTGTGGGGATGTTCCTCTCTTACATATGGAGATTCAGAGTTGGCTTTCCTCATGTAACTGCATCCCTGACCCATTCTTTTAAGGTGATGAATAGAGTAACATGAGTCCTTACTGAATTTATCATGATTACCTCAAATATGGGAAGGGTACTACCAGAGTGCTTCCTTGTAGATCCTTCAATTAACTGAACTATACTGTATAAGAATGTTGGAGAAATTGATGCAGACAATGATACATACCTTTACTAGCATGATGTCATTTGATTTAGAATTTGATCTAAGTCTTGAAAATGGTATGAATTTTTTAATCTCGAATGTTTGTTTGGAGGGCTCATTCTTTGACAGAGAATGCGCTCCTAAAACCACTGTGGGAAATTGTCCTTTGACCAACCTATAAAAGAAAGCAGAGAATGGCAGTAACAGAATGATTTCCAAATCCTCCGATGGGGAGCAGAGATGGCAGAGAGAGTCATAGACACAAAACCAAGCACATATTCCAACATAACCTGTTTAGGATTAGGTAGAGTAGCAGAGGTATCAATGGATCCCATCATGAATGAAAGACATCAAGAGCCAAATGATATGCCTGTAACCCCATTCTAGTCCAATTCCCCAGCGTTGTTAAAGAATATCAGAACTTGGACCTGATTGTGAGAAAAAAACTAGTGAGTTCCTGATTGACTTAGAGCAAGTTAACAATAAAATTGTGTTCATTTATGTAAAAATGAAGGATATTATACATCTTGAGTTTGTGGTTTGAGATTTATGCCAACATAAAAAATAAGGGATTTTTTATTGTGCCAATATATATACATATATCAAAATATCTCATTTTAGCCATTTAAAAATATATAAATGATTTATACATAAAATATGTGTGTATGTGTATATATAGCTGTTTATCCACCACTATCATTCATCTATAGAAATTTTTACCCCAATACTGGAGATTGAACCCAGTATCCCTGAACTACTGAACTACATTCTCAGTTCTTTTTATTTTGAGACAGGGGCTCACTTAATTGCTAAGACTAGCCTTGAACTTGTGCTTCTCCTGCCTTAGACTTCCAAGTTTCTGAGATTACAGGTATGCACCACCAAGCCCAGCTTCCAGAAGTTTTCCCTCTTTCCATTATTAGGTGTTTAAATGATTAAGATAAAGACTCTATCCATGTTCATCTCTATGTTAACATCTCATCTCAGGCATCAGGAGATCCAATACATGGCAGTCAAATATGCTCAAAAGTCCTGTCTTCGCAGTTAGAAACATGATTTGGATGAGAAAGAAAAACTTTCATCAAGGTGAAATACTTGCCTATTTGAAGTGAAGATATCTTAAGACTAGTAGCAATTGGTGATTCCATTGTGGAGATTTATAGGGTACAGCCAGGGAGTCAGATGGAGAAACAAAGGTGTTTTCTTGTTTTGCTTTTTGAAAAAAAAATTTGATTGTACACAATTCTAATACTAGTGTTTCTGATTTACTTGTATGTTTTATAAAGTTATATTTATAGCCACTGGTGAAAATGGAAATGATTTTAAAATAGTTTTTGGTAACATCTCAGAACCTTTGTATGCTACAGATACAGCCCCTTGCAATGTGCATCTTTTTGGAAGCCATCTTAAATCCTGTTTTGGTACAAGGAAGGCTATAAAAATAATTATATTTATTCATTTGCATATATTGATTTCTTTCCTATTTGAAAAGGGATCAAGAAATAAATCAATGAAAACACATATACATACAGATTGCTAAATATTCATAAAATTAAGAAGGGCACCAAAACATACAAAGGAAGAAATGACTGTTTCAGGTTGGGAGAATGTGCACATGACTCTGGTGGGAAGGATTTTGTACATGTAAGACCTGTGACTGCCTGGAATTACCACTTCTTGGTTTCTACCAAAAGAGTTTATTTTGGGAATTCCAGTTCTATTTGTTGAAAAGTTTGCCTATTGCAAAATCAGGATGGGTATGAAATTTCTCTTAGGATGCAGATTGGATTTCTTAGGACTGATTCAAATTCAAATTCAACATACCCACTAACCCCAGAACTTTGGAGGGGAAGATGATATAAAATCCTCAGGATTAACACTCACAGAAAAGTGGGTATCTGCATAAACAACTCATACAAGGAAGGCTGTGAAGGGAAAATCCCGAGTGTGGAAGATGGATTCTGATGAAGGGAAGGCTGTCAAGAAAATTTCTTGTTTGCTTTCATATTTTACTCATTTCCTTAACTAGCTATTGCTTTGGACATGTTTTGATTATTTTTGCCTCCACTGGGATAGGCTAAAACCAAAAACAACCCAAGCAGACCATTGTGCTTTCTGAACTTTCAATTTCTAGATACGTTTCAACTGTAGAGTCTGTCCAACAAGGTCAATTTTTCTATCCGTTGGATACCTGAAATTGCTTGAGTTGTAGGACTCCATTTCTTTAGCTAAACCTGGAATTCACATAGAGGATAACTAATAATACAAGTGTCATTTATTTGAACAGTTTAGGATTTCTCCAAGAGTGGTCTTCAGAGCTGCATCAGAATCATCTGGAGCTGTTTGTTTAAAATGGAGCTTCCTGAACTTATCTGAAACAGAATTACACATAGAGCAGAACCATAGTATTGCTTGTAACAATGTTTTTTCACCATCTGCTCACAATGTGGAAACACTGTCTCAATTGATCCTAACAATACCTTTCTTGGAGTTGTTAAAACTGTTGAGTGGTATATTCCTCACTAGTAAAGGAGTGTTCTCTGACTGTTCTAAAGTGTCACATTGCATAACTGGGGGAATCAGGACCCCAGTCCAGCTTTTATGATTCCAATTCCAGTGCTCTTTCCTCAACTCCTCATTAAGTGCCATGCCAAGGCCCCGTCAAACCTCTTATTTCCTCTGTCAGCATGTCATGATGCTGAGAAGTACTTATGTTTAGACCTACTCCAGAGGCCTGGCAGCAAAGGCAGGGTTCCCGTGTCTTGGAGGTCTCTCTTGCTTCAGAGACTTGAGATTTTCCCAGTCTCATCTCATGAATACAAGTGGATCATCGGATTAGCCCCTTGATTATTGTCATGGAAGGCATAGATAATGATATAATAATACTTGATAATGTCTATTAAGGTCTTGTGCTCTGTGCTCTTTCCCCTAGGGCCTCACAAGAGCCCCATGAGGTAGGTGATGATTCTCCACTTCATGATATCAGGTGGAGGCTCCAGGCTGCACAGGCAGCCTGGATCAGGAGTCAGTTGATTGGAAGCCAAAGTCATTTCACTTGGGGAGAGAGACTTGAGTGTTTGAGATGGAGTAAGACCCTGTAGAAGGTTCTGCCTGATAATATCCTGAGCAGGTGAGAGAGGGGGAAGCATGCAAAGAAGGGTGGCATTAGAGGATACCTAGGAGGACAGTGGACAGCAGCTGGTGAGAGTTTTGTTGCTAGTAAGTTAAAATGCTGAAGATAAGCATATACAGAAAACCTTTTACCCATTTCCTTTTATATTTGACAGGGAACTGATAAAGGGGCTCAGGTACTAAGGAAGGAGCTGAATGGAGGGTGGTAAGAACAGAGCACTCCCAGATTTGGCCCATTTTGCTATTTTGCTGAGAGGGAGGCCCAAGGTTAGTAAACCATTCCCACAGGATACGTGTGAGTACATTTGTGGGCAGCCACTATTGAACTATTTCATAAATATTTGGAATTTCATAAGCCTTAATATTTTTGTAAGCACTGATCTGCCTACATTTTTACACCCAAGTGTCCTGTAGAGGAAACTTGATCTACATATTTTGGAGTTCTTTATATGCTAGCTAGCCAGCCATTTAAAATGATATTTAGCAATCTTTTTTAAACTCCAGGATTTCTCTCCACTCTTTCTTAATTTAAAAAAAATAATCCCCCCCCATATTTGAGAATCCACTTCTCTTAAGTCCACTTGACAAAACTGAAAATTCACTCAATATAGCACTTCATGGTTCTTCACACATCATATTTCAGGCTTAACAAAAACCAAATCAAACCAAAACAAAAAATCCTCCAGTTTGTTTCCTTTTTTCCATCCAGAATTTGTTGAACATTTACAAGTTAAGCTCTGAGTGGGGAGAGCTTATAGTCCATCTGAATATGTACCATAAGTATGTTTGAAGATGTGCATGCTTTTATTAATAGTCATACTTTGCCTCACTGGTCCCAAGGGGGTAAGAGTCAGGAAAAGAGGGACAGAAGTAATAGGGGTGAGTTTTATGAAGACAAGAACCCCACTTAAATGAGGGAATCACATGAAACTGGAAATCAGTGACTTGCTATTTAGAAATAAAACAGAAGTTCTCCTGTTTTCAGGCTTCAAAACTTCTATGCTCAAATAGCCCCATTAACATGGGATCATCAGACAACACCCCAAAGCATGAAGAGAAACAAATCAGTTCAAGTATTCTGTTTAGACATAGCTGATGCCTAGACAGCAAGCCATGGCAGCAAACCATGTGAAGGGCTGAAAAGCTTCTTAGGAAGGAGGAGGCTCCATCTCAGCTTATCCAGGCAAGAAACATAAGGAAACAAACATGCAATCAATCAGAAAAAACAAAACGACAAAACACAAATGAAATAACAGATACCAAATTAATTTTCTACTGCTTTTCCTCCTGTGATGATTGCAGCATCCTAAGATGGGTTTTGAGCTTTATCAACCAAAGCAAGAGAATCCTAGTGTGAAATGAACTTTGGGAGGTTATTCTCTGTCTTCAGAAAAGCTTTCATTCTAAGTAACCCTGAAAAATAACTCACTACTTTTCTCTTTGTACAAACCCTCTATAAACTCCCCCCACCCGCCCACACACAGGATAGTTGTTAACTTTTATGGATGTTTTTCCCAAACTGCGGGCCCCAGATGTCTGGTTTAAGTGACGGGCCTGAGTAACTAAGGAGTCCAAACATCCACTGGAAAATCAGACTTCTCATACTAACATTATTGGCTGTAATAGACTTGTGCTTATTAAATGTGTCAAACATGCTAAAATACTTAAATTGGTGCTATCTAATTCTCAAAACCCCATGAAACAGGGTATGTTTGTCTCCCCTCATAGATACACAGGTTTGCTTTCTGCAGTTTCAGTTACTTGTGGTCAACTGCTGGAAAATTAACATTTTAAACTTAATAAGCAATTCATAAGTTTTAAGTGACTTTTTAAATAGTATATTGTTATAATTTCTCTATTTAATTGTTGTGTTAATCTCTTACTATGCCTAATCTATAAATTTG